GAATGGGCTGGGCAGAGGTACCCAGCCTGCAGGCCCTGCAGAGCTGTGGAGCGCTCACCCCATTTGCAGATGTTTACTAGGCAAGAAATCGGGTGTGTAAGGTGACCCCCCCCCCAGGAAGGGAGGGGGACACATCTGAGTACAGCCTCCTCCAAGCACCCGGCTTCAGCTTAGTGAAAGCAGATGGGCAGATCTGGGTGGCTCATCCTGCTTTCTTCCACAAGTAGCAGTGGTGGCAGAGGACGGTGGAGAAAGCTTCACTTGCACGGCAGCATATGGATTTAGGTTAGTGCCTGGTCCTGACAACCCTCATGGCACATGATTTGGGCTCGGAGATATGCACGGTGGAAGGAGGGACTGAAAACTTGTTGGGGCTGGTGTTCCCCTTCTCTGTGCTGTAGCATCTGGTACAGGTTTGGATCATATGCAGACACACTGGAGGGGCTCTATTTGCCATGTGTGCTTTGGGTCTGTGCTGTGGTGGCGGCTGGCTCTAACACACCCGCTTTCCCTCCTCCAAAGCCAAGGGCGTGTCATCAGCTGAGAGTCACTCCTGCAATGCTGACACACAACCAGGAGCACGGGGTCTCTGGCAGCCAGCCCTAGCCCCTATCACTGACCCCTGGCCACTGCTTACATCTAGCCTCCTGCATTGGAAACAAGGATGGTTGAAGACTCCACCATGCTTCCTTCAGTGGCAGGGAGGTACTTGCTCTTTAGGTGCAGGTGAGGCACGAGGACAGCATGGGGATGCTCTGGGCAGAGCTGCTGCAGCTTCTGCTCCGCTGCCAACACTTTGGTCCCCAAAACCCCGGCACCCACCTCTGCTTTCCTCTCACCAGGAGCAACATGGCCCAGAGAGGGGCAGCTTGGCCTCTGGTGAAGTTGCCAGCTTCACCTCCATCAGCAACTCTTGTCTATAAGGCCAGAGGGGTATTTCTGGAAGAAAAGACCCTTTTGTGGATGCTGCTGCCAATCTGATTATGACTGGGTTGGTTTTCCTGCCACTGATTTTTGTCACACAGCAGGACTGGTCAAGGAATTGCTACTCCTAGAGTCGTCAAGCAATAAATCTACTCTTCAGGTGGGCAGGGAAAGATATCCTATTCTTATACATGTAACAGATGGGATTAAACAGATAAACCAGGCAGGCTGCTTCCATCAACTCACTCAGTTGCAAAGATTTACTGTCCGAACAAGCTTTTCTCACTGAGAAGGGCTTGGCTAGCCATCTTGTCACTGTCAGGTGATCTCATATGGGTGGAGGGATATCCATCTTGCCCGCTCACGGTAAAGGGACATTTCTCCTTCCAGCCAAAATCCCTTCACAGAAATCTCTCATGGGCAAATTTGCCCTACGGAAGCTAATCCCTTTCCTTTGTAAAGCCATCAGTGCCCAGACCCAAGGCTAGGACTGGGGTCCGACAAGGTGCCGTAAACAGCATCCGCCACTGGAGCCATCCCAGTTCCCTGCAGTGCTCGAGCCGGCTGGAACTGCGGGCCTCTCCGCTTACACCCTCCAGCTTTCACGATGCCACATTCACCAACTAGCCATTGCAAATGTAGTTGCAATTGCATTAAAATAAAATTAAGCTAAAAATATGTCAAGTAAAACTGCAAAGTTTTAAATCAAAATGGAGATACTGGAGGCTCTTAGTCTCCAAGTGTAGCCACAGGAGGAGTCTTTCCCTGCCCTCTCCTCCAGCCGCCGGGGAGATGGGTGCTGCTGCAGCACGGTGCCCTGGCAGTCACTGATTAACCGTCCACCCGGGGAGGTGCTGCCCACGCTGCGGGTTATGCCTCCACCCCCTGGCTACTCATTTCTGATGCTTGACTTCACTCTGTGGTGTTTTTACAGACTTTTTGCCACAGTGCTTGTTTCCCATAGCCTTTTTTTTCCCTTTACAGTTTCAAATGTTTCAAATGTAAGGAGTGAGCCTGATTTCTGCCATCCCTGGCTTGCTTCTTATTGCTAACTCCTCTGCAGCTCAGCCATCAGGTCTGTGTGGATGCAAGGATCTGGCCAGCTTTGAAAATATTTAGGTACAATTCCCCCTTCTTATGAGAAAAGCTTATAAGCCTCCCAAAACAGAGGTGAAATGGGATTTCTGTGAGCCATCCATGCTACTTGGCTTTTAGCATATGGAGAATATTATCCCCCAGGGAGGAAAATATCCTCCATGGCAGCTTCTCCCTGCCCAGCTCCATCTTTGCTGTGCTCTCTAGTGCAGTCACGAAGACTGCATTGCCAGTGGTGTAAGCAGTAACAGGAGATGAAGATGTTGAAATCATATTATATTTATTACATACATGAGATATAAAAACAAATTACCAAAATAGTATCATTTTTTTTTGTGAGTCCACAGGACCTTGAAAGAAAAATACATACGTAAAGCGGATTGGTAGACTCATGACTTTTCTGGTGTTGTATGTCTTCCTTTTCTTTCCCCTCACACTCATGAACAAAATATACTCTATGCAACGTGGTTTAAAGATGCTTTACAGAAAAGATATATTTTAGTGCTGAAAATTGCAGTAAACTGTTCTATATTCCATACTGGTGTTAATGAGGAAGTATAATGGCCATATATATTGCAAACGATAACACAGAAGAAAACAAATAAAATGTTCAGTTTTAAATACTAACATAAAAATAAAATAAACTCCAGGCCCACCATGAATCACTGGGTTGTGATAGGCGAATGCGAGTCCTTTCCATTCTCCGCATCCACTCCTTTTCCTGCAGGCAGAGTTTTTCTCCTCTGGCAATTGCATTTTTTGTCTCAAAGTCTCTTCTTCTCATGCTGCTTGCGAAGTCTCGCTGGAGTCCTGCCCACGGGGTCCAAGTGCTGGTCTGAAGCTGGGACTTCAGTGCAAATACTTTATCTTTCAGATTGTATCCTCAGATACTCTGAGTGGCCAGTGACAGGCTGGCCGTTCCCTTTATACCGTTAACGCCATCCAACTCGGGGGGGTCTTCAGGAGTGCTTCTGTTTCAGGGTGTTTTTTTCACGTGCCTTCAACCTCTTCTTTCCCCAACACAATTAGACTTCCCGCACCGTGAAGTGGCAGGTAGTAAAGTGCTTTACACAATGAAATATTTACACTAGGGCTAGGTTTATTTTTTAACACTTCAAGGACAAAAGCTCAGAGACACTGCACCCTCCGGAGCTGGCTCTTCTCTGCAGGCGTGCAGTGGGTGGAGAGCCGGCCTCTGCCTCGTGCCGCTCTTGTGCCAAGGCAGAGGGATTCGATTCACTCCGGCAGCTCCATCCTCACCAGCGCTGGCAGAGAACGTAGCCCCCGAAACCTTCAGCGGGGTGACCAGGTTAAAAGCACACGGGGCCCTATTCTCTTTGATGGGTGCCGTGTTCTAACCCAAGGGGGTGTTTCTAAAGAGCGGTCGTCGGTGCCATGCCTGCCCGCCGCTGTGGCCGTCGCCTTCCCCACAGCATCCTCTGGGAGCCTCTGAAAGTCACTCAGGGTCCATGCTGGCGACACTGGCAGTGGTGTTTTACTTCTCAGCTGTAGCTCGTGGGCACGCTTTCCCTCTCTAGGGTGGCAATTTAGTCTGGGGCGATCTGTGGCTACATAGGAGTTGCTCCAACAGCGCACTGGAGCGAGACAAGCGTCCGCCCTTCCTTTTGTTTCCCTCAACGTAATGACGAACTGGACTCAGGTGAGCCCCTGGCAAGGAAGCTACAGGTGAGTGAACGAACATTGGCCAGGAAGGGTTAAATTAGACAGCGCCTACAACTCTGAACGCCTCGCTACACGTTTTGGCACTATTTTCTTACATTCCAGTTTTCATCCTAGAGGTCTTCTCTCTGTGAAAGCTGTTGCATTTTGTGCATAGAGAAACACCCTAGGCAGTTGCGCACCTCTAGTTGCAGTCTCTTTTCAAAATCTCCAGGACCTTTCTTCCGAGAGCCGACTTCCACTGATGGACAAAACTTTTCATGTTGACGATGAGTCTGCCCGTTCGGACATCCTCGTGTCCTGCCACGAGGTACTCCAAGCCTGCAAACCAGCAAAACGGTCAGGGACTGCACAGCACTATGCTTAAGAGGCCTAGTGATGCTGCAAAGTCAGCCTGGATATCTAGTCCCATGTAAAAAAGCACTTACACGAGGAAATATTTATACATACTGATTCTCTCACATATCTGTATATCTATACCTTTATCTGTATCTATGGAAAAATGACCCCTGTGGCACATCTGTCAATGAGATGCAGTATACAAATTTTGATTTTGTTAGCTTCTAAATATAAATGGAAGCTGAACTCTGGGGGCTGCACTACAAGTTTTTATACCTCATTTGGGAACTGCTGTTACCTTCATTTGGCAGCCACCTGCCTCACCCCTTCCTGAATATACCTGGGCCTGGAAATCGTCTGTTCAGCACATTCCAGCACTAACAGCACAGGATGGCCCACTGCTGGTGTCTTGCTCAAAATGGCTGGTGCCCCCTTGCAGGCAAAGGCACGCTGGACCCTGCCAAGAAGCAATACTAGATTTGCCAGCGTGAGCACCCCAGAAGAGCCTGAGGGGGTGGCAGTCACACTGAAAAGAGCTGCATTAACTTCTGCCTCTGCCAGATGTTTTAGAGACATGGCACCAGCCTCGCCTGGTGCCTAGAAGGTGCCAGAAAGGGCTGGAGCGCAGCCCTGTAGCATCCCACCGCAAGGCTTGCCCCAGGCACCAGGATCCGTGCCTGGCTTTCCGAGCACGACTCAAAGAGCGCTTGGAGCAGGCGATAACTGCCAAGCAGGGGGACGAGGCGAAGCCTTTGGCTTGAATTAGCTAAAGAAACACTGCCACGGATCCCAACAGCCTAAATGGGCCACAAATGTGCCATAAACCAGCATAACAAGGAGGATAATTCCTCCTGTGGCAGGAGGAGCTCCATGCCCGAGCCAGCATCCCACTGCAACACGCTTGGGGTACAGCAAAGACGAGACCCCGACTGTACCCTCTCCCCCTCGCACTGGTCCGGGGAGCACCACGTGGCGGTACGAACTAGCCTGGGGGAGATGGGTCTCCACCAGTGCTCTTGGTCACTCCACTCCGTCCTGGCCACAGCAGGGAGTCTGCTTGTGTTTTCTTTGGTTTTCATTTTGTAGTTTAGAATAAAGGGAGAGTGTCCCCTAGCTAAAGGTCAAGCATGTTTTTCTTTAATTCAATACAATTTGTTATCTACTTAATCTGAGTTTTTGGGCACACACATCCTCTCTTCTGCCAAGTAAACACAGGGTATGTGTACGGCAGTATCACCCTTTGCAAGACACTTGTTTTGGCCATGTCAAGCCTGCTGTTATAAACATCACTCTTCAAGGGCTCCTAAATCTATCTCCCTTGAGAGGGAAATGTAGCATGCACCCTCAGAGAGCAAGCAAATATTGCTGTGGTTGCTGATTCAGTAGGGCTTTCTAGATTTTCAACCGGACGTTACAGAAGTGTAAAAATAAAAGGAATTAAACGACTGAGATGCTGCAAACCAGGACTTGAGGCTGTGAGTTTTGCCCTGCGTTGCTGGCAGGCAGCTCTCTGCTTATTTGTGTCTGTGCTTGGCAGAGCCGAGGAGGAGAAGGGCTCCTGTTCCCTTATGGACAGCTGAGACCTTTAAACCTTTCAGCTCAGTGTACCCCAGAAGCCCAGCCTGCCTCTGTGGGTGCGTGCACAGGGGAAGGTGTGCAAGGGTAGTGAATATCCTCTTGTAGGAACTTAAGCAAGTTTATCATCTGAAAACAGCTCATGGAGATTTGATAAATGCTTGGAGTTTCCACTATAGCTATATGCCAGGAAATTGTTTTGTATCAGCTTGGCTTTTTATCCAGCTGTTGCTGGTTTATTCATCTGAAGGTCATAAGCTCTTACTTTGAGAGAAGGTTAAATCTGCTAATATAGTATTGCTGCCCATCCAGAAATGAAAGTGGTAGCTAAAGAAAATAATGAAATTTAAAAAAATATTTGAGGTCCCTTTTTTCCCACTTTTAAATGATTGAATCTTAAAGATGCGCTCTGTTGATGTTTTCAAGTTTCCTGTTAGGACCAAGCTTCACAACTTCTTTCCAAAATGAAAGCTGAGATTAATTTATACTCACGGGACTCCAGCAGCTGCATTGCAAGAAAACACTAAGCTTTGCAGTGTAAATCATGAGAGTTGGCAAGGGGTAACACCCGATGTGTCAGACGCCTGGATTGTCCCTAAAGACAACTGCACCTCCACCCTTCCGCTGATGTCCAAGCGATCTTCATTGATTCTGTGATTAATGCTGACTTTTCCTCTGCTGGGGAAAATCAGTGACGCTCCTCGGAAGCTAGTGGAGTTGCAAAGCTGCGTGTCAGGTGTGGGGCTGCCCTGCATAATCAGTGTCTGACAGCTCCCATGGCATTCCTCCAGGTTCATATTAAGGCTTTCTTGCTTGCATTTGCATTGCATATGGAAAAATAAACCACCTGTACCTACTTAGTTATAGATTTATGGTGTTTTACCAATAAACAAAGTCTTACTGTGCTTAAACAGCAAAGTTCTGCCTAACGCTGCTGATTCACCCGACTCACCTGACTACAGCTCGCCTTCAAAGCTGAAGACGGTCACTCCGGTGGAAACAAAAGAAGACTACAAACACCTCATCAATGAATAACCTTTCTGCATGATCCAGCCTCGCAGACAGCCCTTTCCCCCCAATGGAAGTTCCTAGTGCTGCACACGTAAGGGACGTCTCAGCACTGAAGTCGACATTTCAATCAGTGATTTCCAAGTGATGTGTGTGCCTTGCGGAAAGAAAACCCTTTATCTGAATTAGTTGGTAACTGTTGGTTTATCTCGGAATTGTAAAGAAAGGTGTGTCAGCTGAAGCTTAGTTTTGCTATATTGAAGAAAACCCTGAGTCTGCATCTCCTCGTCCCTACAGAGACTGCATGCACTGTTTAGCCACCACTGGTTATACTCCATTTCAGTAAAAGAAGATGAGAAAACACTGTGAAGCCAAAGCTGCCCTCTCACTGCATAAGAGAATCTCTTCCAAACCGTGTAGATGCAAATTAGTGTTACTTTCAAAGAGACATCTTCCCTTGAGTTTAGATTAAAACTTCAGTACAATGTCATGATTCAAATTAGATTTAAATGTGTTTTTATGGTTTCAAATTAGCATTAGTTTTGAAAAGATATGTCATGTAGTCATGGCGTGATACGCACCTCCCTCCCTCTGGGAACAGACCAAGACTGGTAAAGCTGTAAGTCTGTTATTATGCTTCATAAAGAGAAACTTATGTTTGAAAGTCTATAGAATGAACCAAGTTTTTCTCTACAAAATTCAAATTTGATGGAGATTGCTATTGGAATCCAAATGATGTAACAGCCAATAAATTAACCAACACTGCGCTGCAACCTCAGCTCATTGGCATGAGGGGATGGAGGGGTGGGAATGAAATCTGTGTAAACGTGGTGGGGATGCGCTGCTCAGGGAGTCAAACCTACCGGGATTAAGGATGGGACAAGTGCAGCCTCTGTTAGTCCAGGATTCAGGGTAGAGCGTCCTCTTGCCCCGGAGGATCTTCAGCTTTGTAGATTTCAAGACTTTCTTGATCTTCACATTGACTTCTGCATGGGAGCCTTTGTCATGAGCCGACAAGATCTTCGTCTTGATCACTGGGAAAATACGAATTCAAAACCAGGAATATATAAACTATTTACAGTGCGCTCTTTTTTTTCTTTGGTCTAATGCCGGTGTCTGGGTGAAGCAGCGAGGACAATTACTTCATTACAGTGGAGTTAGCCCGGCACTCCTTGCCGGGGAGCCCAGGGTCAGCGCAGCTGCCAGGGGAGCGCATACGTCCCCATACCTGTGGGCAGGAACGCTGCCGGTTGGTTTGGCCAAGGCCCCTGGACCTGCCGCATGGGCAGCGGGAGAGGTCCAATGACCTGATTTTCAAAACTTGGGCCCCAGTTTCTCCCGGAGCTCAGCAAAGACTTTGGCTTCCTTAGCACTTTTGGAAATCAAGTAGAAAGCCTTGCTTTTTAGGATGGACCTGGAGGCTTTGCCGGCCTCGGCCAGGGCAGGCCAGGCAGCAGGCAGGGGCGTCAGGGGCTGCCCCCATCCCACCCTGGTGAGCAGTCCTGCTGCCGGTCCTCCCGCTTTGCAGAACTGCCAAATCCAAATATAGCGGCGGAGACTGAGACGTTGGTGGGGACTGAGGCAAATCGTGGAGTATTTTGAGCTCACAAATACCCACAGGCACACCCCCACCGCCTGGTATCCCACCTGCTGAGCCCCTGTGCGGTGGAGGCTCAGGACTCAGGTCCCACGCGTGAGCCTCCTCCCGACTGTGCTGATGCCTACGCTGTGTGGTGGTGCTTTATTCAGCGCTGCACGTTAGGAAGCCCAGGGAAACCTCTCCTCCTACGGTATGGCCTCCTGAAGCTCACGATGAGCCCCATAATTCATCCGTCTCTCCAGTTTAGCTGACACCTTTGCATGTTGAGTGACGAAAGGGTGGGAAGTCTGAGTGCACTTTAGATAAGATTTATGAACGTGGGTTTTTTGTGACTTTTTTTTTTTTTTATTTCTTATCTTTTGCAAGATTAAACACAGTCACTATCGCAGCCAGGGAGCAAAGCAAAGCAGAATCAGATTTTCTCCCAATATCACTAAGCCAGGGCTATATTTCAACAGCTGGCGGCCCCTTGAACTTCCCTTTGTGGGTTGCTCCGCAGCCTGCAGAAGTAGGGGTTATCTCTCTGTGCATTTTCAACTTCAGTGTGAGACGAAACAGGTGCAAGAGACCCCTGGAAGACTGTGAAGCAAGGGAGTGCTACACCGAGCGTTCCTTGCTCTGCTGTGGTATGAAGGAGGCGGTTCACTGGCACACACAGGAGAGGTCTTGGGAAACAATGCGCCTCCTCTCATTCATTTAAATCCAATAGACACATAGACAATATACATCACCCCATTGCAACAGCTGAACTTTGTTGACAGGGGGAAGCTCCCAGTAGCTGCCGGAGCCATTTTCTCCATGTAGTGGCTTGTGTGGTGATCACTGTCTCTCCTCACATTCGGTGTAATTCAGATTTAGTGATTTCTAGACCGATCTTGGGGCACCTGGTCTACAGACAGTTTTAGTGACCCGTTTTTGGTAACAGTGCTTTCCAGTCTGTCTTGGACCTAGACAACCTCTTAGGGACCCTTCCAGCTCTTGTCCTCCCATGACTTCGGCACAAGAATATTTTGGTAGCAAGAGAGGTGGGTAACAGAGCAAGACGATTCACCCACTTTGACTTGGCACCATGATATCTATACATTTTGGAAAGGTCAAAGATCTGGCCCCAGACTAAGTAGCCCATGGGTTTGCAGGGACGGAGCCATGCACACAGCAGCACCTCTCACGCTTTACACTCTTGCACTGCCTTGCAGCACCTCCCTTTGCGCCCCTGCCACCTCACCCGAAACTCACCGTAGGTGTACTTCATCCCGCAGAAGACCTTGGGATTCCCTAAAACTTGCTCTTTACATTCGCATTTACCTGGGGAAAGAGAAGGAAGCAAACGGCTATGGATTGTACTTAAAAGACAGAAGCCTTCGTGGACAGACCCTGGGACCTGCCAGAGGTTTTCACGTGGTCCACAAGCCCTGTGCAAAAAAAGCCCTATTTTCAGATCCAGGCTGAATATATAATCTTAGTCCAAGGGCAATTATTCCTTGTTTACAATTTGAAGAGAAGGGAAACAAAGGCCTTATTATTTTGCCTCGGGATGCAAATAACACGCATGTCTTTCCCCACAGTATTTTCCACACTGTAATGTACCAGACAAAATTTTAACAGGAAATGTTGCAGAGGTTAAGGCAGATTAATGACTTCCGTGATCTTAGAACAAAGAATAACATGATATACTTATTTATGTTTAAAATGAAGTCGCCCAGACAAATGATGGAGCTTTCCCCTCAATTAACTCAATTATTGTATCTTCGAGATTTTATCATGCCGCTTTCTGAAAATGGAGGAAATGACGCTTGCCTGCTTGCATGCGGCGATTGCAAGGAAGGACGGCTTGATGCTGCGCCGCAGGGACAAACTGCCTTGCAGCAACCTCACGCAGCACCTGCCTCCTCCAGACCAGGGGGGAAATAACTTCCCCAGCTGAAACCATAGCTGAAATGCTAGGCAATCTCAAATCACATCGTAAGATGCAGTGGATGCCAAAATTGTTGTGGGCATCAGGGAAATAAATTTTTATTTGGAAATTTCCAATTCCCTGCCCATGAAGTGGCAAAACCCACCCTCTAAATAATGTTGCTGGTTTGTCCAACATGTAGTAGCTCTAGTGAATACAAAGACACATTTAAAACATGATGGACAAAATAAAAAGAGTTTTCAGCTTTGAAATTCAGAGCTGGGACTACAAATTCAGGCAGGCAACTCTTGCCTCACTAAATGCTGGGTGCAGGTTTTCAGCGTGGAACATCTGCCTAAAGGGTTTGCACATCCTCACATTGATGGGACGAGCCATAAGGCTCCTCCAGCTCGTCGAGGGGAAGGAGGTGGTCGCACAGACATTAACGGGGGAACATCCATCCCCTCCTGCAACTGCCAGGGCGCTAATTACAAGCCAGTGCAGAAGACTGTGTCTGCACTGGCTGCTTGCAGGAGGGATGGGGCAGGGAAACACGTGAGAAGCTGCCGACCTACCAGAGTGTCGGAGCGCTGAGAAGCCCTGCTCATCCTCCCAGCCCCAGGCGGGCTCGCTCTCGTTGAGCACTGCCTGGAAAGGAGGCACTTCGTGGTGCCAGGTCACGTCCGAGCTGTTGGGAGGAAAGGGAAATGGTCAGCCTTCCTCCTGGAGCCGGCAGAAAGTAGGGCCACTACCAACTCGTCCTCCTGGCACAATGTGACTGCACGTCTTGGTCGCATTAAATTCAAGGGGCAGTTTTGGAAAGTGAAGAGGTTGAGTGTTGTCAGAGTGGGTCATGAATCCATTTTGGGTTTAAAATGCATTATAGGGATTTATATGCTATAAATATGCCCAGCGTGGTAAAAAAAAGCAACATATAAGATCCAGAGAGTGGGGTATTATTAAAATGTGCTATCTTCTAAAAGTCAGAGCCTGACCAACACAGTCAATGCAAGTTGAGTTGCAACAGAACAATATTAACGCTTTGATCTCCTCTCACTCAGATCTCCCTGAAGCTCACATTTTGCTCATGGAGAGGAAGCAATGGTGAAGGTTATGGAAAACACGCCATGAATTAACACCAGCACCGAGAGCCAACGATCCAACCTTGCCGGTGCCCTGTCACAGTGTGCCAGGCACCCAGATGAACTGCAGCCTCAGCTCCTGCTCTGTCCCCAATTCCTGACCATACCAAACCCCAAATATTTTATATAATGGCTATTTTTCAGACTGCATGCCATGCATAAAGCGGGTTGCAGCAGTGCCTTCCCTGGGATGGAGATCACGGGGGGATTGCTGAGGCTGGGGGCAGGGGGGGTGGCCAGGACCCCTCAACTCACCTGCTGCGGCAGTCGCCAGTGCGGGGGTCGCA